TTCGATAGTGGGGGCAAGTAAATTCCTGTGTAGACACTTTGGGTTGTAGATGTAGGTTTCTGATTCATGTGCTTTGATTACTTCACACAGGGAAATATGGATGGGAGATTATCTAGCAGTACCACATCAGCTTTATTTTCTTAATGGAAATAAGCAAAACCCACAAGAACAGATAACAACAGAGAAAATGCATAACTTAAGAAATTCATTTACGCATAGCATAACCAAGGAATGTAAAATAGGTAATAAAATGGATAGGTCTTATAGATAATAGGTTTTATAGATATAGTTAGCTACTGTAGATCAGTTCAGTAAGTTTTATATGCTTTATGTATATAATTTTTATGTTAGTATCTTAAATTAATCTTATTCATATAGGTATACAAGTAGTCTTTCACAATCATTCATTTAGTGACTGTTTGAAGTTACAGCAGCGCTGAAAAACTGACTTATATTTATACAGTTACTATTACAGCATGGTCACATGATCAAAATTTGAGTGCTTGGCAACTGGCATGTATTTATGACAATTGCACTGTCCTGGGATCATATGATCCCCATATGATCATATGATGACCAGTTGACTTCCAACAAGCATAGTCAGTGGAGAAAGCCAGATTTGCTTAATAATCACTGAACTGCAGTGATTCACTTAACAACTGTGGCAAAAGAATCTGTAAAATGGGGCAAAACTGATTTAATACTGCCTTTGTTAAGTCCTGGATGAAAAAACCCAATCAAGCAAAACACCAGAGTCATTGCGTTCTCTTTTATTGGGCAAGAATCAAACCAGCATAATTGAATTAAAGCTACCTCTGAGGAAATGGTGGGAAGCAGATAATTAAAAGAATAAGACCTTTCTTCCCCTCTCTGACTGTTCAGGTCACATTGTCCAATACATCTTCTGGTAATTGTTATGAGAAGAACCTTTACTGAAAGCGATAAGAGACACCTGTAGACTCCAAACTCTCCTGAATCCCAACCTCAGTTCTGTTGGCAAGCAAGAAGAACTAAGCAGTCCTAAAGGCAGTAGATTTCGTAGCTTGACAGCCTTGCTTAGCAACAAATTTTGAGCTGAATTTAGTTGTAGGTCGAGGACTACCTGTATGTATTTAGTTGTAGGTCGAAGACTACCTGTATGTATGCAGATATTTTTATATGTATAAATATATACATAGATGTAGATGTAGGTGTATAGATACAGATAGACAGTGTAGATATTAGATATTAGCTCTGGAATAAAGAAAAAAACTTTATCACAGTCGTGTGTGTGTGTGTATGTGTATGTGTATGTGTGTGTTGAGAAAAGTAGTCGAACAATGGGATAAATATAAAAAAAACGATCAAATGGCTTGGAACTAGGATCCATCCAGTATTTCTTTGCTGTTGCATGAGACAGCGGTTCTGGTCTTGCATAGGCTGCGCCCGTTGCACTCGTTGTGAGTTGTTACGCTGTTGTTCCCACTTCCTTAGTGTCTGATAAGTAGGCAGTAACTCTATGTGGCGATTAATTGAGTGTTCATCCGACAGCCAAACCTCCTCCAGTAACTGGCCACCCTTGGTGACATCCTGGGCGATGGCCTCCGCCCCGGCAAGGTCGAATGTGTGATTGTTGCTGGCCATATGGATCCACACTTGTGAGCATTGCTCATGTCATCTAATGGCCAGCTCATGTTCATGGATCCTAGGGGGACCATTCTATAGCAACGTGTACCCAGATACGTCCAAACTGGGCAAAGAGAGCGACAATAAGAGGCGGTGATCCCTGAGCTTACAAGTGTACAGATGAATGTGAGACTATTAGAAGCAATACGGTCAACTGGGGCGGGTAGACCGGTGATGCGTTCTATGAGCAGAGTGCACAAACTGCCGGTCTTATGAGAAGGCTTTCAAACCTCCGGCGTTCAATTCTGACGATGTCGGCAGTTAGCCGACGAAAGCTAAGTTTATCAAACAGTTGTTAGTTCGACTACTTTTCTCAACATGAATATACCCAAGATTCACATTTTTAGTATAATTAGAGACTATATGTATGTATGTATGTATGTATGTATGTATGTATGTATGTATATATATATATGTGTGTGTGTGTGTGTGTGTGTGTGTGTGTGTGTCTTAATTATATTAAGCCATGTGATAAAATAAATAAATTCGAATACTAGGATAATATCAAACTAAAAGCTGTTTAATACAGCAGTTTTGGAAACTACCAAGGGAGCAGCAAACGCGTGCCCTTTAAAAATAAAAAATTAGAGAGATCGAGTGGACTAATGACCAGGCCAAAAAGCTGGGCGCAAAGCCGGCTAGTAACATAAAGAGAACTCCCATTTACTTGCTTTTATGCTCTGATGATGTCGGCAGTGCTGGCTGACGAAAGCTCAGCATTTGTATTAATTTAGTTTGATATTATCCTGGTATTCGAATTTATTTATTTTATCGTGTGTGTGTGTGTGTGTGTGTGTGTGTGTGTGTGTGTGTGTGTATATATATATATATATATATATATATATATATATATATATATATATAATTGATCACTAACTGTGATAAAGTTTTATTCTTTATTCTGGAGTTAATATCTATTATAGGTTAACTAATTTGAATTTTTTTTAAATGAAGGAACTGCAATTATACTTCACTATATCTAATGGCCCTTTAGTAAAGAGAGGCAGACTACTTGCTAGGACCCCAACAAAGAATACTTCTGCCATCTTTATATTTTCTATAGACATCTAGCTGACTACTGATGAAAACAGAATGCTAGATTAAAAGCCTTCTTTATTTGATCCAAGAATAAATCTTTTTGAACATTCATTAAATATAAGAAAGCTTGTGTAAGTATGATACTAAAGTGGAGTGGAGTGCAGTTTTTGATCACATAAAGGGGGTTGAATTGCTAATTGCATTTCTTTTTAGTAATGCTTCATTGAATGTTTTAGCACTATAGACATCAAGTCATAAAGAGTAATGGAGTTTAAATTTGATCTTTGACATTTATTGTTATTTACCGAAAAGAGAATTTGAGTAATTTCTTTAGACCAAGATTATCTCACATTAGATGACTCAAGCGCTTTGTTGCCTAATTTAAGTGCTTTATGTATTAGTTGATTGAAATAAGTAAGTTAAAAGTAAATATCCTGTTTAACTTTCGTAGAAAATAAAGAAGATGAAAGCATTCAACAGGAAACAATGTCTTCAGCTATAGTGGAGTTTTTCTGTTTAAATAAGCCTGTCTTTTCTACTGTTTACATATTTTAGTTACTCCCTAGTTGAAGGAGTTGGCTAATTGTAAGACTGGAGGCTGGGATGGTTTTTTGTTGTTGTTGTTGTTCTTGGTCAAACAACTTTGTAAAATTAGAGGGGAGACATTTTAAGAACTGCCAAATTTGTCTTGGCAGAGATAACCTAGTTGGATGTACATGCTATCAGGACTAATCGTTTAAAAAAAAAAAAACTTTGTTTTTCTCTGGGGAAAAAGCAACACAAGTTGCTTTTAGCCAGTAAATTGGCTTTCTGAGTTCAGTAATACCTTCCTCAGTCTTGAACAAGTTAACTTAAAGTTGTCAAAAGAAATACTTTTATCTAGATTTGCATTTAAACGTCTATCTAGAATGTTTTTATGCCTCTTTGTTTGCACCAATCCTCATCAGCTATTCCAGACATCTTTTGTGCTGGAAATCTGATTAATAGACATCTAGGCCGATAGGAATGTAGAGTTTCTTGGTAATAAATTGTTTTCTGAACTCCTTTGTGTTGATTGTAGACCTGGGTCTTTCTCTAATTACTACCCTGTTAAGAAAGAGTTGCTGTTGGCTTTTTGTTGTTGTTGCAGCAGAGGGAGATATGAGAATATGGAAGAATGAGGTGGAAGGCTAAGCAAGCAAATATATTTCATGTGGAGCAATTTGCTGAAAGGAAGAATGTTTTGGCCTGGCTGAAATTACTTCTCTCATGATACTGAAACCAGCATATATCTTTAAAAAAAAAAAAGCAGCACCAATTAGGTCAAAATATTCAACTTAATGTGTAGATATGTACTAAGTGAAGCACCTTCCTAATGCTGGAGGACATTGGTGAAACAGGGTACAAACGGGGCATTTCAGCTTGCACAGTTGGATATGAGCAGAGTTTGGAGAGGCCCTTTAGGAGTTTGGAATGTACTTAAGGCAGATACTAGAACAGATTCTGAGGATCAGTTGCTAACAGTAGAAATCATAAGTCAGGAAATGAACTGGAAGCCTGACAATTTCTTTTCTTAAAGCAGCTGCACATCTTTTCTGTAAGGTAGAGTAAAATCATTGCAGAAAGCAGCAGAGTATTATTGAAAAATGTTATAAATAAATAATAAATAGGGACATCTCTATTTATTTATCCAAATAGAGACTTATTGTAATGACAGTAGTATTCAGTAATATGCAGCAGCGCCACACAAATTCCCATATTCATGCTAGTTAAAGTCATTTCTAAATATTCAGAAAAAAAACCTATTGCTTCAAATAATCTAGAAAAAAAATGTAAGAAGGAGAGTGAATACATACGGGAATATATATTCAATATGCCTATTATAAATTCAACAAGTCTGCTTAATAGTTCTGTGAAAATTTATTGAATTAAGTTGCGGAAACATCATTTGATAAGCCAAGATAGCTTTAAGTACATATATGTCCCCAATCGATGGGGAGAGTTTGTTCAATTTTTTCAACCTGCTTACTTATGTGAAATGCTATAGAAACACAAGAGAATGTAACAGAATCATAAGAATTGGAGATAGCAGTGACTGCAAATCTGTTGGTTGGATTTTGTCTACTGGAGTCAACAAGTGAAAATCATTTTCAGAAAGAAATTCAGCTTTGTGCATTCATTTATAGTAAGAAAGTATAATTGCAGAGAGAGAAGCTTTAATCTGGAAGAATTGACACCTTACTGTTGATTTATATGGAGTAAATTTGCAGAAAGTTGCTTTCATTTTCTTGATTTTTTGTTTGTTTGTTTTTTTGAAGGTACGGACACTCTTTGTCAGTGGTCTGCCCCTGGATATCAAACCTCGAGAGCTCTATCTCTTGTTCAGGCCATTCAAGGTACTTTCTTTGACTACCAGCCTTGGAAGAAAAAACTGAGCCCAAGAGTCAGTGTGCTTATTTATAGAAACATTGTGATTTGTGTTGTTATTATAAATGGCATGTTTCCACGTTAATGTCTGACAGGGTTCTCCTGCAGGAGAATACAATGTTCCTGGTATCTGGATTTTAAAAAGTTTGGAATACAGTTAATTGTAATATCTTATTTCAGTTGAAAACTTGGCTAGAAGGACTTTCAAAGAGACTGAAAGTTGGCCAAACGCTCCCCCCTCAAAATGACTATAAATATTAACAGTGCTGTGAGGAAGGCTCCAAGTTACACATATGAGCCTCTACCGATGATAAAGATTAGGTAGAGTTCATAATGTCTGTAAATGACATGTCACATATTTTATGTGCTACCATATATTCTTCAAAGGTGTATGTGCATATTCTACTATTTTTTTTATTTTCTAATACCGGCAACTGAATCATACAAATCTAACACAATTTTTGGTGTGTTCTGGGTTGATAAATCTCATTTTCATTTATAGAAAGCATAATATTAGCCTATATATGTATAAAATCATCTTTCTTGATAATGAAATCTTTTAATCCACTTCATTACATTTCCCTACCACCCCCTTTCGAGTGAGTATCATGGGAAAAAAATTCTTTTTTGTGTCATTTCTGTTTGACATCTTCATAATACGCATACTATTATGACTATGCAAAGCATTTGAAAGAAGTGTTTCACCAAATGTGTTAGAAACAACAAAGCACCTCTCTTTGAAATGTTAAAACTGCCAGATGCTTTGCAAGCCTTTTACCTTGCAGAAGACTTGGTTTCTTTAACACTTCACAGGGAAGTGGTTTGCTTATGCTCCCCTGCTTTGTCAAATATCTCTTTTGAATGCTTTGCAAATCCCTAATATATATCCCATTAGTAGTTTCTTAATACTTGAGGTATCTTCCATTGTATCTTCCACATGGTACTTTCTAAACCATTTAAACATGCCTTTTACAAGTTTGCCTCAGGAAAGATGGAAATTAACAATCTCTATTAATGGGAAGCCCCCAAATGTTTTTTTTCCTGTAGTAGCATTGCTTGCCAACTTTTTTTAAAAAAACATGGGTGCCCTTGTTACATCAGCTATTAACCCTAGTACTCATCCTCAACTCAGGCTTAGGAACCAGGACACTAAGTTCTAGCCTTGGGCATGAAAGCTGACTGGGTAACTTTCGGCCAGTCACTTTATCTCAGCCTAACACACACCACTGGGTTGTTGTGCGGAAAATAAGAGAAGGAAAGAATGTTAGGTATGTTTGCTGACTTGAGCTATTTATAAAGTAATAAAGGTAAGATAAATCTAATAAAAAATATTGGTATTCTTAGCGGACAGCCTTTTTATTAAGGCTTGAAAACAGAATCAGACTTGCAAGATTCTGTTAATAATTTTAATAACACTGTAACACTCTAATACCAATAAAGTAGAACAGTTTCATTGGGTGTCTGGACTACCTCATAAGGTAGTCATAAGGTGAAATGAGTGTTGCAAATTTCATAAGGTGAAATGAATGTTGCAAATCTGACAGTACATTTCTCCTTGTCACCTTTACAGCTCAAAACACTAGAGAGGATCCCTTCTGACACATTTGCCATGCCCTCATTCCTTCTTTGGGTTAAGCTGTGTCTTATCTGATCATTCTTCTGGCTTTAGCTTCCTCCTTGTCTCTCAAGGTCATTCCCACATGCCTTTACACTTGGGGACAATTTGCAACACCAGTGAATTACATAGTAAGAATGAAAATATTAGATTGTTTCAACAAAGGAGAGAAGGGGTAAAGGGAAAGGCTACCCAGATAGCTGTCGAAATGCAGAAGAACTGGCAGTTCGCTTGTGCCCTTAGCCTCATTGTAGCTGTTTTATTATCAGTGTTTGCAATGTGTGTGTGTGTGTGTGTGTGTGTGATTCCTTAGGTACTTTTAATAATAATAATAAAGTTGGAAGGGACCTTGAAGGTCATCGGGTCCAAGTGGACAGCAGTAAAAGTGCCCAACTGATCATACCTAATAATGGTGAAATAGTGGCTTGACTTCACAAGGGAGCTATCAGACATGGCAAAGGAGTTGTTTACACCAGCGGGCAAATCTTTGCCCTAGATCTAGAAAGAAAAGACTGCAAAACTCTCTACACAGCATTTCTTCTGGAATGGAACTGAATCAATAGTTAATTGGCAAGCCCACAGTATGGAGAGAACCCAGGGCAGCAACAGTTTCAGAGCAGTAGAGTCCTTGCATTATAGAACAGTCCTGAATACATGAGCATGTTGCAGTGCAAATTCCTGTGCATTGCATCATGATGTAAGTACAAAATGGTGGAGCTCATGACAGCATGGCACACATGATGTCATTTTGGCACTTTTTAGTTGTTAGGAATGGATGCCCATGTTAATTAAGCACTATGGTATAATAACTTACTCCAAAGCAAACATATCAATGGAGATTCTCAATCATCCCAAAAGACAACTGGATTTTCTTGGTTATTTTTCTTTGAAAATGTTTCCCTTCTCATCCAAAAAGACCTGAAGAATCTTCTTGGATGAAAAGGGAAACTTTTTCAAAGAAAAAAAACCCAAGAATGTCAAGTTGTCTTTTGGAAAAAGTACCTTTGGGATAAACTTGATCTTGCTTGTAGGATTTTTTCCTCTATGCTTTACTCAAAATACAGTACAGATAATCCTCACTCATTCAGCAATTGTTCAAAGTTATGATGGTGCTGAAAAAGGAGACTTATGACAGGTTTTCAAATTGCAACTGTTGCGCCCCCTCAGTCGTGGTGATTTGGGCACTTGGCAGCTGGCATGCATTTATAAAGATCTTAGCGCTCTGCAATCCTGTGATTTGCCGTTTGTGAGCTTCACAGGCAGCTTCTGACAAGCGAAGCCAATGAGGAAGCCAGCAGGAAGTCAAAACTTGCAATCACATGATGTCACACTTAATAACGCACAGTGATCCACTTAATGTGACCCCGGCTGGAACTGCCAAATTGTCATCAGATGTGATCACACTGGGCACAATCATGTCATTTTTCACTTTACAACTCTGCACTTGGTAACAATCCCAGTTGCAGTCAGTAAGTTAGAAGTATCTGTAGTTCCAACAATAATGAATACTTTTAAGTAATGGTATATAATTTTAATAGTTTAACTCATTTTTTATCCTAATATTGAATATGAAGTTAAGTTCCTGCCTTAAGTTAAGTTGCCTGCCTTAACGACTTATGAAATAATTAGGTCTTTTTATGAATTATTGTAGCTGCTCTTTTAAAGCCAAGAATGCTGTATATTACTGTGTGACAAAGTGTTGATATATTCAAATGTACAGATCTAAAGAACTTGTATATTATCTTGTACATATATTGTTTTTATTTTTCTCTCCAGGGGTATGAAGGTTCTCTTATTAAACTCACTTCAAAGCAGGTAAGGCTAACATTGAACAAATGCATCATCATAAACATCATAGCAAGTTATTAAGATGCAGTAGATTATAAACAGTAAAGTTGGTATGAAATTTTGGCACAGAGATTTACATATCAGTGACAAAAGTCACTGAAAATAATCAGAATAACTGAACTCACAATTTCAACCCATTACTGTCTTTCTAGTTGATTTAGTATTAGTAAGAGCTAAAGATGTGTTAGAGATGTATGTTAGATGTACTTGAACAATTAAAATTGTGTCCCGCCCACTGCCCATCTTCAAAATGTGACCACTGACATACAGAAGGTATGATTGTGATTATGTTATGTATACAAATCTCACTTTTTTAAAATATAATTTTATTGAAGACATTTTAACAGGATAAAAAATACAGACATATTAGAAAAGAAACAAAATAAGAAAGAAAATAGAAAGAGAAATACAAATAGAAAAGAAAAAAGCAGGGGGGAAAGAAAAAGTGACTTCCCATCTTTTTGACAGCAGTTATAAATACATTTATATTCCACCCTCTGTCTCTAAAGCTATATCATAATTTCCTTCTTTCCATAAGCTACCATATCTAATCTTCAAACCAATAAAACAAGCTTTTTTCCTTTTTTTTCAGCAAGAAGTCCATAAGGAATTTCCAATCACTGATAAATGTAGTTGTTGACCTTTAATCAAACAAGCTGATTTTATCATTTCTACAAGTTCTGTCATCTTCACCAACCATTCCTCCATGGTGGGCATGTCAGAGTCTTTCCATTTTTGCACATATAATAGTCTTGTAGCAATAATCATATATAAAAATAATCTTCCTTGTATCCTTTCTAATTGACTGTCCACTAATCCCAGCAAGAAAAGTTCTGGTTTTGGCTGAATATTGATCTTTAAAATTTGTTGTATCATTGCATGTATTTGAACCCAGAAATTTCTGGCTTTTTTACAAGTTCACTAGGCATGATAAAAATGATACTTGTTGTTCAACATGCATTTAAAGTACCTTTCTGCATTCTAGATCATTTTTCTGGAGTCATATACCAAAGTTACATCATTTTATCAAAAATATATTTTAGCTTACAACATAATGTAAATTTCAGTCCTTTTAACCATGTATTTTCCTATGGTTCCATCAGTGCATTGTGTCTAAGTTCTTAGCCCGTTTTATCATAGTATATCACTTGTTCTTTTTCCATTTCTAAATTTCAGCTAAATTACATTTTAGCAATTACATGTTCATCATTTGTACATAGTTAAACTTCATAATCTGTCCTCTGTTGTCAATTCCAAATGTCATATTATCTACTTTAAATCTTTCTCTTAACCATGCATGCAAAAAACATTAAAAACTAAATCCCTCTTTTGAGTCAATTGCTCTTTTGAGTTCATCTTATACTCTCCACGTTCCTGTTATAACAGCTCTTAATAAGTTAACCATTTTTCTCCATCTACTGTTTCCTTCCTGTAAAACGCTTCTTATGCTGAGACCCATAAAGGCATTTTCAGGCAGAGCCTGGGTTTATATCTATTTCATAGTCTCGTTATGGCATTTCTAACATAATAATTCTCAAAATCTACATTAACCTTAACTTTTATCATACCATAAAAAAAGCATACCATCCAAAGCTCAAATCGTGCTTTTCTAATTCTAAAATTCTCTTATTTCTTAGCAAAATCCATTCTTCATCCTGACTAAGCAGCAGGCTACAAAATGTAATTTCAAATCAGGAGTCCCATCCTCTTTCCTTTGCATGTTGAAATATTTTATATTTAATTCTTCTTTTTTCATTGTCATAAAAACTTAGTTATATCTTTTTGTCATTGTTTAAATAGCAATCAATTTTCATAATAGATACCATTTGAAACAGAAAACATTATTCTTAAACAAAATGTTCATTTTTATCATATAAATTCTCCCCAAAATGACAAATCTTATCATGTCCTTAATTTCATTTCATGTCTTAACGAGAATTATTCTATTACATTCATGTTTCGTATTCAAGTAATTCACTTTTTCTTATTCTTAAAACCGTCTTTTTCCATCAGTTCCATTTGTTTTTCCAGTTTCATATTCTTTGTTAACATCTTTGTCTTTTATTTATTTTAAAATCAGCTAACACCCCAAGTGCTTTAGTTTTTCTATAAATAGTTCTGCTCCTTTCAGGAGGTTTTCCAAAATTATCAGCAGGTCATCAGCAAATTCTAGTAATTTATGTCTTTTTCTTTTAATCTTCATTCCAGCATTTCTCTCATCTTATCTTATCTCTCTTCAATACTTCCAAAGCTAAAATAAATAGCAATGGTGACAAGGAGCATTCTTGTTTAGTCCCTTTCTGTAACTCACAAGTTTTGTTTATTCTCAGTTCACAATTAACTGTACCTTTTGTGGGATATAAATTTTACCCATTTGATAAAATTATCTCTGAAGTCCATATATTTCAAAATTTTAAACAAAAGTGCCCAATTCAAAATTGTCAGAGGACTTTCTGCATAAAAAAAATCAATGCTGTTTACGTTTCATTATGTTATTGTGAGTATTCCAAAATATCCTATATGTTCCTAATATTGTCCCTCAGCTTTTAGGTGAAAATCCAAACTGATTATAGTTGTGTAAAATCATCTTCATTTTCTCAGCTGAAATCATCATACATAATAGCACTGATGACATTTTTTTTGTTAATATAATATTTCTATCTTTTAATTTTAATATTTTAATATTTTTCTCACGTTCCTCAATTTATATGTCAATCATTTCCCGAATTTGCAAGTTCAAATTTTTTTGTATAATTTATTTTTACTTCCATTTCTCTTACTATTAACAAAAAACACTGCTGTTGTAAAAGTTTAATTTGGAGTTAAATAATTTTTTGGGGGGGATTGCTTTAATTCTTTCATTTTTATCTGACCTAAAATCACATTTTCTTGTCTCTTTTTTTTAGTTTACTATTATGCTGTATAAAATATCCCTTCATAAAAGCTGTACTTGCATCCCAAACCATTCTTAAGTCTCTACCTTTATTAAAATTACTATAAAAATGCCTTTAACTTCTGTTTACAATTTTTCATTACTGTTTCTTTTGCAGTAATGTTTACTTTCCATCTGAAAGATGGATAGTTTTCCTTTTAAATAGTAAAGTCACTGTATTGTGGTCTGAAAATATCTTTGGCGGTATATCCACACTAGTAGCCAAATTCTTGGATATCCAAAACGTATTAATTCTTGAGAAAGATCTATGTCTTTCAGAATAATGTGTATTCTTTTGCATCACTATTTTTGTATCTTCATGCACTTACAAGCTCTAGATTATTCATCATGTAAAAACAAATTTTTGATCATTTATCTGTTTTAATAACTTTCTCAGAGGTACTGTCCTGCAGTGGATAAATGTCATGGTCAAAGAACCAGTAACACTTCCTAATTTCAAAACACTGAAAAGTTTATTATTGTTACCTATACACAAGAATCAATCAGAATAGAGCTGGAAGGGACCTTGGAGGTCTTCTAGTCCAGCCCCCTGCTCAAACAGGAGTCCCTATGTCATTTCAGACAAGTGGCTGTCCAGTCTCTTCTTAAAAACCTCCAGTGATGAAGCACCCACAACTTCTGAAGGCAAACCATTCCACAGGTTGATTATCCTCACTGTTAGGAAGTTTCTCAATTTCAGGTTGCTTCTCCTTGATTTGGTTCCATCCGTTATTGTCTTGCCTTCTGGTGCTGGTCTAACAGTCAAATCTAAAGGTCAAGGCTAATTGGGTGGTAAATAAGGGTGAAAGGAATTCATGGGGAGCTGGACTTGAATCCCTCGTGGCTGTGCAAATTCATGATATGTCTAACCCTGCCTTCTAGCTCAGACTGTTGATCTCCTACAACAAATTACTCCATTCCAATTTCCCTTAAATACCAATTTTCATATTGGTTAGCTTGTTCATAACTTCTTGGTAAAAATTTACCTTATCCTCATTTGGAGCATAAATTTTCATGATCAAAGACTTGACTCCATGGAAATCATTTCCAATCCCACATATCTACCCTACATATTGCCCAATTGTTTTTATAGTTTTTATACTGTAAGCCACCTAGAGTCATTGGTTGAGACAGGTGGCTATAGAAATTGAACAAATAAACACATAAATATCAGTCAATATCAGTTCAGGTTTTAATTGAGGTTTACATATAAAACAATCAACTTCTCTTTTTAATTCTGACTGAAATACATTTTTGCAGATAAAATATTTTATATCCTTTTTTCTGATACGCATTTCTTAAAAGACAAACTGTGTCTTGTCTGAATTTTTTGAGATGACTTTTTTCCTTTTTGAGGAGCATTTGCTCCATTTATATTTCACACTAGACTTAAAATTGATGTTTATACCAAAAACTTAGAAAACGCATTACCTGCCATTACCTAATGTTGCCTCTTCCTCAGTTTTTTCGTTTTAGCTCTTTAAGGTCCAGAGTGTTGGCGTCCTTTGTCACTTCCATTTGCATTTCTTCCAGTTCATCTTTAAACTTTCCTAGAAAGTCTCTTGCTTTTTGGACTGAGTTCAGACTGAACCCCTATTGTTTAAAAGTGAAACTGTCAAGGTGCTGCTAGCAGCAGCTGCCAGGGGCTGCTGTCATAGGGCTGCAGATTTTCTTCTTATAGTTTTAATTCCATGAACGGGACCGACGGCAGTGGAATGTATACATGTAGGAATTTGCTGCTGCTATGATTTTAAAAAAGGATAAAGACCTTTTGGGTTGTCCATTTGATAGCTAATCCAAATTTTAAAGAAATAGATAATTTGACATTATTGGCCAATAAAACCCAAATCTTTATTTCTAATATTTAGGTATAAAAACAGAATAGCTGAATCTTGATTATTTTCTCCAACTGTATTTACTCTCCACCGGGACAAGTCTCTCAGTATGACACATTTAGGGAAGGATAAATATTTATATTATCTAAGGCCATTCTTCATAGCCAGTGTCCTAGAATACTTAAAAATATAATTTGTCTAAAAATCTTTATAAGAAACCTAGCCTAAATATTTTGATTGTTTTTCACTTGTTAGGTTAAATCTGTTTAAATACTATGAAAGTAAAAAGGCAAGAACAGAAGTAAGATTGGTTCTGTAGTTTCTGCTAAATTAAGTGCTCTTGTACAAATACTTCCTTGCTTTAATGTTTTTATTGATGAATTAGTCTTAACACAACACTCCTGTCTTAATTCTTGGTAAATGCAGATTGTAGATGAAGCATTTTGAAATAATTAAGTAATCACTTCTTCCTTTTAATTTGTTTAATTTGCTTTTGTTTTCATATTCTGATTCTTTTGATATTGGATAAATGATTTTCCACAGATGGGAAATTTCACGGTCTTTAAGATTCATTTTGGAGGCACGATCCCCTAAAGTTTCCAAGAATGTGAAATAAATAAAATTAACCATGGTCTTTTAAAATTGTTACTTAATATGTAGAATGTAACATCAAATAGAATTGTCCAAAATATTTATTTTTAAATATGTCAAGTATGAAATGTTGAGAAAACAGACATCTTGAATGTGAAATTCAAGATGCTTTGAGCATTTTGGAAGAAGCTTGAGCTTGAAACAAGAGGAATTCCAAGTTCAAGACAGTGACTTTCAAAACTGAAATGCTTCCAAAATGCTTGGAAAGTCCCATCCAGCATTTGACAAGGGATATTTTATGAAATTTCACGCTGAAAAAATGAGAAATGAAATGTTTGGGCATTCCTAGAACAGAACAAAGTTTAATCAACAAAAATCAATTCCACCTTATGAACTAAAGATACTAAAAACAATGTAATTGTGTTTAATTTGGAGTATCATCAAAATTTCAAATGAGGTTTTTCTACTTAATTTTTGAATTAAAAGTAGCAAATGAAGTCATGGATAATTCTGACTCTTAACACTCCAGAAACATTCTAATTTTTCTCTTCTTTCAGCCTGTAGGTTTCGTTAGCTTTGATAGTCGCTCAGAAGCAGAAGCTGCTAAGAATGCCTTGAATGTAAGTAATAATAATAATAATAATAATAGCAAGAATAGTAACAATAAAGTTGGAAGAGACCTTGGAGGTCATCTAGTCCAACCCCCTGCTCAGGCAGGAAACTATTAATCTCAAGTGGCTGGGTTGCTTTCTAAGTGTGGTTAAATACATAAGTACATACAGGGAAGAGGCACTGGACTATATTAAAATGGAGCTCTATTGCCAACAGTCATGTACTACAATTCAAATGGGAATTTGAATTGAAATTTCAAATGGGATTGTTCCTTTGAATACTTACAAAAATGCCCTTGCATGTAGAAATGTCCAACTAGCAGAATAGAATTGGAACCAAACTGGAGATAGTATAGAGTTATACAATGTGCTATATATACAGGATTGACTTATATCTCGGTGCTATACTTTATCTGTCAAGTGTCCATGGAATAAATCAAATAATTTTGAGCTGCCAAGTGCAGTGATGGTTGATTATGGGTCACCAAGTTGTCAACTCTTAGTGACATATAGATAAACTTATAAATAGACAGGATGATCTGTCTGGTTCTTCATGCTTTCCCACAGTGCACTTCCATGACTGTAATCAAGTTCATCCAGCTCACTTCTGTTTTTTAATTTATTATCTTTTTTATTTACCGGTATTTATATTTCCTATTTCTAAACTGCCCATCTCCCTTGGAGATTGATTATCCTGCTCTTCTGCTTTCTTCTATTTTTCTCAGCATTACAGCTTGTTTGTTTATTTAAATTTATTTCTCAAGGGAGCTGTGTTTTACATAAAATGTCAAAATATGATAATTTGAGCCGGTTCACTCACGTCTTTTTTTCATTTTCCGTTTTCTTAGTTTTTCATAGTCATCTTGGTAATCTTTCCCAACACCACAGTTCAAAAGTCTGAATGCACTTTTTTTAACATACCACAATTTAACTTCCCTAAGCCATCACAAGAAAAGCCATTCCTTGCACAATTCTTGTCTCTGTAAGTGTAGACATATTGTAGCATCTGAATATCTTTTCGAAGGTCTTCATTACCAGCCTGATGATGATGGTGATGATGATAATACCTGTTCAGACAAGTCCAACTCTTGGCGATTTTGTGGGCCATGTCTCTCCATATCTTCCATTCTTGCACTGTTCCTTTCAATTTTTCTATGCTCTGGCTGGTGTCAGCTTTGATGGTGATTACCAGCCTATTAAAGTGCTAATCTGCAAAATATTTCTTGATTGATGATTCCTTTTCTATGTAGTTGGTCTTACATAGAAAGCTATCAACAATTTCATTATCTTCAATGTTGCTGGTTGTTGTACTTGTTATCATTAGTTTGGTCCTCTTTATATTTAATTGTAATTCCATTGACAGTCCTTGACTGTCCTTAGTAGAGCTTCCAGATTATTTGCATACTCAGCTATCAAAGTCCATTGTTAACATAAACCAGGTTATTAATTATTCATTTTCTTCCTCTAATTTTAAAACCACACACATTTTCTTCAAAACCAAATTTTCTCAATATTCAATTTGGCATAGAGGTTGAATAAATGGCAGGATAGACAACTCTGTCTCATTCTTTTGCCAACCTGGAGCCAGTCTGTTTTGCCATGTTCCGTCTGTACTGTGCTTTCTTGATCTGTGTATTGGTTCTGCATTAGATAATATGGGATTCCCATTTTTCTAACCCCCTTCTACAGCTTGACATGATCAACATAATCAAAAGCCTTTCTATAATCAAGGAAGTACATGATGACTTCTTTTTAGTATTCTTTGGCTTGTTTTGTTGTGTAGCAACAATATCTCTTATTTCTTGGCCTTTTCTAAAATTAGCATGAACTCTGGCATTTTCCTTTCCGTGTGCAGTTTTTCAATCTATGTTGGATAATTCTAAGCAATGCTTTGTTAGCAAGTAAAATTAAGAATATTGTGCAATTGTGTGCATACTCTGTTAAGTCGCCTTTCTTTGATATTTATATGTAGGCTAATTCAATCTGTTGACCAAGTGTCATTCTCCAGATTTGTTGGCATAGGATGGTAAGAATTTCACTGGTTCTTGTTCCATTGCTTGCCATATTTCTGTAAATGTTTCACTAACTCCTGTTGCTTTCCAACTTGATAATAACCGGAACACTAATGTAACTTCAGAGGTTCTTGTAAATAGGGAGTATCTTCTAAGGTATCGTGAATGTTGACAATCTCTACTGTAAAGAATTTCCTATTTTTGTTTGACCTTCTTTGAATTACTTGCTATTTGTTTATTAGCATCCTTTAGCACAGTGGTTCTCAACCTTTTAAATGCCGCGACCCCCAACCGGCTGTAAGTCGAGGACTACTCAACCGGTCGTAAGTCGAGGACTACTCAACTGGTGCAGCACTGTTTGCAGAATGGGACTTTTGGTGGGCTCAGCAGGGCAGAGACAGCCTGGACAATTCCTATTGGCTTTTGAAAGCCAATAGAATTAGACTCTATTCAAGATAGTCTATTCTATTGGCTTTCAAAAGCCAATAGAATAAAAGGGAGTAGCACAGCTAAGGAAAAGGGGGAAAAATGGCGGACTGCGTTGTTTGGCGACCCCCCGTGAAATGGTTGTTCGGCCCCAAATGGGGTCCCGACCCACAGGTTGAGAACCACTGCTTTAGCATATCAATTTGAGCTTGGAACCTCTTTCTAAGTATGAGATCTTTTAGAAAATTTTCCTTGTTTTTCTGTATCTGTTCCCATATTTGATGTTTTCTGAAATTCTTTGATAAGTTCCTTCTTGAAATCGTTTCCCCCCCCCCCCTTGGCTTTGGCTTCTCCTCTTCATGGCAATTTCCACCATCCATTTGTACATCCACTTTGCTTTCTTCTGGTTTTATGGTCTTTGCTGTAAGTTTTCACATTCATCCTTAATAACATCTTTGATATAATTCCACAATTCTTCTAGTTCCCTATCAGTGAAGTTCTGTACTTCAATGCGATTCCTGCAAAGATGTGTCATTGAAACTGGTTGGCTTTGTTCCTCCATTTTAGCCAGACTTGGATCTTGCTCATGTGATTTGTTTCATAGTAAGTCTCTGGCCACATCTTTACCATTATAACAAAATCTTCCTCTATATTACTTGGACCAGTAATATAGTCAGTCTAATATTTGTATATACCACCTGGTGATGTATATAGCATTGGTTGTTTGAAGATTGTGTTAGCAATGAAGATTGTATTAGCAATGGAGAAATTTGCACATTGCTTCATTTCTGTTTCCTTGGCGATATGGTCCAACTATGGGTTTTCTTCTTTATTTCCAACTTCTACATTCCAACCTATAAGAAAAAGCTATATGTCTTGCTTATTTGTTCTACCAATTTCAGATTGACCTTAATTATTCAACTCATCAACTTCTGCATCAGTAGTTGGAGCATAAACTTGGGTAACCATCATATTAAATAGTTGTCTGCAAAGTCTAATTGATATTATTTGGTCATTTACTGCATTATACCCAAGTAAGATCCTTGCTATATTTTTTTCTATGAGAGCAACACTATTTCTTTTTTGTTTTTGATGTTCTCATTAGTAAGTAATTACGATTTTCTGAATGGAAGTATCCAATTCCACTATATTTTAATTCTCTGATACCTGAGTTTTCAATGTGCAGTTGATTCATTTCAATTTTTGCTACGTTTTGTTTTCCCATGTTCATGCTTTTTACTCCCATGTTCCATGAAGATTATGTTTTTGCCGCTACAGAATCTCCCTGTCTGCATTTCAACATTAACAACTCAGCATCCTGAGGGCTTTTATGAACTTGCAGCATAAAAACCATTAGTACTTTGAAAGCTCCTCAGTTTTCCTCCACAGCATGTTGAGTGCCATTTAACCTGAAGGGCCCATTATCTGGTACCGTGTCATCAATTATTTTATATTATCTATCCATATGGTTTTCTTGGTAAAATACAAGAGTGGTTTACCATTGCCATCTTTTGCACTATATGAAATGATATTTTTGCGATTGTTTCTAAGGGGATGAGCTACTCCAGTATCTTCCTATACTGCTGCTGCTGCCTGATATAGGTACCTATTTCCTTTAACTGAGCAGCTAAGTTGAACTTCATGTTTTATGTGACTCTCTTGGAAGTGTATGCTTTTGGTGTATACTCCAAGAATTATTTATTCATCCTTCTGAGCAACATCTCCTGTCATGATACAGCAAGATAACTGGATTTCAGGGGGAAAGATGCAGTGGAGAACATACAGTTCAAACACTGTTGTGATATGCAGAGAATGGAAGAGCAATGACCTTCATTTCTGCCTGTATAAATAAATAACATTTATTTCCAAAGAGGGGAGAGGGCAGGGGTATTTTTGAGAAATCAACAGCATTAAAATGACAAGCATGACTGGGCAATTGAAGCCCCACCTTTTTAATGGGCATAGCAAAACAGTATATAAAGTGAGAACTGGCCACTTTTAAATTCTGCCTGTATTCCCAATAGGCAGTTTAACACAAGTATGTTTATTGATGGAAGACACAATGTTAGTCATTAACTTGGATGGTTAAATAATCACAAGCTCAGTTATTAAGAGCTATTGTTGAGCATTTCTTGCCATACACTCCGTCTACTCCAAACAAAAGACCAGTCTAAGGTTTCTTAATAGCTCCATTTAGGTGAAGGTTACATACAGGTCCTAATCATACCATCAGTGGTTAGCAACTCTGTAAAAGCATGTTGTATCAACAAGTCCTCCACAGAAACAGTATGATTGTTTCCAGTGGGTGATACCATGGGATTTCAGATTCTGATAATTCAATGGTGTCAGTGTTATAAAGTTATCAACTACTGTTACCAGGTTGGGAAAAGGCTAATACATAGATAACCTAATTAAAAAAAATTGTCTATTATATTCATTCACGGAAATTCCTAATACTTTTAGTACAGAAACACCTTTAATTCTGTTGGCAAATTTATTTAAAAAGGAATTAATAAAAAAAAATTCATTTCAGCACAGTTAAGAAAATTGCTTTCTGTTGATATTCTGATT